ACTGTCCCCTTGGTATTAATTAGATTCCCAGTAACCTATTCCTTGTGGAATATTTTAGCTTTTTTTTTTCTTTTTTGAGGGTTTCCTGTTTCCTATGTTGCCTCATGCACTTGAGAGTAGCTCTATATTGACATCCACAAAGGTGTTTTATTGTTCTTCTTAAAAGTCTCTTCTGTTATGATGTGTTGAAAACCTTGACAATGGTTAGTCTACTGAAAAGCCCTGGTTGACAAATATTGTCTCCTTTTAGTCACTGTCTATATCCACCTATTATCTCTTGTCTTATACTTAGGGCCAGATCCTTTCCCACCTAATAGACACCTATTTGCAATCTTACTCCATGGTGCTGGCATTCTAGAAAAGCAGTTAATGTATAAAGTCTGTGACACTTCCACCTCTTTGCTGCCTTTTGTGACTCAGTATTTAAGACTAAGCTGACAGTATTTTGCAAAAGCAGATACCTTAATGGATTTTCAGGGACTACAAATAGGACTTTAGGGTGCCCATACATATGTAGAGCTGGCATTTCCAAAAGTGCTGTAATTTTTGTGCTTTACTTAACATGCTTTAAGTACAGAGCCTTAAAGCTTAATAGATGTTTCATGGTTTGGTACAAGTTTCATGCCTTGTAATTCTGTAGAGTAGAAGGCAGGGGGTGCTGCATGCTGCACAATGCAGCTAATTATCACTTTGAAAAGCTCCAGTTGCAATACATGTGCAATAAAAGTGAACAAGGTAGTCTGAAATCCACTACTTCAGTTTTCCTTATGTTTAAAACACATACAATGAGGTTTAATTAAGGCAGCTTCCACCATTTTAAAAAACATTCTGAAGTCATCCACATACATTAAGTGAAGGCTTTAGAAAGCTTTAAGTGGTGAAAATCATCACATGCTTTGGCACCCTTAGATTATAAATTCTTTGGAGCAAAGTATATTATAAAAATGTGTCATGTACTCTACTGTACCAAAAAAATATGGATGAGAGGTTTTTTAACCTGAGGATTTCTGAAGAAGAAAGTGAAATTATAGAAGAAGCTGTGAGTGATGTCAGGCTAAAAAGCCAATAGGTGGTACAACTCAGATCTTACAGCAGTGAGCTAGTTTGTAGTAAAGGAATATGGGGAACCAGATAACTGAACTGGAAAAGATAAATTTGTAATAGACCCTGAGGCCTTTATAGGGCCCAAAGATCTTGGTCTCATCAATATGATGCATTATTTGGAAAACAAGTGGCCAGCCCAGTTGGATGAGAGTCTGGGGAAATCTTACAGGAAACAGGGAAGCTCTTACCAGAGTTAAGAATAGACCTGAAACAGGCAAACCACATCATAATCCATGCTGCTAGGAAAGTTCTTTTTACTATCAGCCAGACATTGAAAGAGAGGCTGAGTAAGTTCATTACTTTGGGAAACTCATATGAAGTAGAAGCGACCAAATGGGTATAGGTGATTACTGAAGAAAAAAAAGATGAAACCCTTGATTTATGTATAAAAATCAAAGCATTAAATAAATTAACATTTTCTGCTACAGATGTATCAGCAGGGTTCTAGCAGGTTTTCTAACCCTACTTTATAGATGTTCAACACCTGCTTTGGAAGACACTGTTTCCACAGTGTCTGTTTGGCTTATGTTTAGCATGTGAAGCCTTTCACAGGGAAATACAACAAATATTTGCTGGTATGAAGGATACCAGGATTCACGCAGATGACATTTTGATCTGGGGAAAACCATTAGCAAAAGATGAACAAGAGCTCTTGGCAGCCCCACAGACAAGAAGAGCTAATGGGCTAAAGCTAAGCTAACAAAAATGTTAGTTTTATGTAACAGAAATAACATAACTATGAGAGAAAGTAACATAGAAAAATGAATAGGTAAACTGTAAAACTGAAATCATCACTAGCATGTTTGGCCCTGCAGACAAAGAATGGATACAAGCGTTCTTGGAAGTGTTAAACTATTGAAGAAAATTTGTTCTTGTTCTAACAACTCAAAACAGAAACTTGAGAGTACTACCGTGAAGAGATAAGACACGGGACATGAGATACTCAAGCAGTAAGCACAATAGTAAATTAATTGATGCATCGGATAAATGTTTTGGCATAGTCTATTTAAAATAGTGTGGGCAAAACTGGAAACTACTGGCTCAAGTGTCATGGGTATTAACAAACTTGAATGGTAATATAAATTTAAAAAAGCATTTAGCCTTTCCAGATGTGTATGTAAAGATTTAAAATATATATATTTGTACTTCTTGGAGGCAAATATTAGCTGCCACTTATTGCCATTGTCAGATAGGGCTTGGCAACTTCCCCTTGATAATACAGCAGTTCCTTCCCTCCCCCTCCCCCCCCTCCCCCACACACCCCCCTCAAATACTA